AAATGTTTCTACCAGTACTTTAAAATAAACCTATACATAAAGTTCCCTTACTGGAGCATGCAATATACACTCAATTAGAATTTGTTATATTCTCCTTCTCAACATATCGAATAGTTCTTTTTAGGCTTTAGGACAGTGCCTTTGTTACATTATGGAGGGATTCATACTGATATTTTAGCCTCTACTATATTTGCTCTGGGTCCTTCAACTTCTGTAGAATTAAACATTAGTTAAGATTTAGTTCTGTAGTTAATATTCCTTGGATTTTAGTAGAAAATTCAGTGAGTTATTTCCTGCATAAACTGGTATACGTTCTGCCTAAAGTTAGTACCTAGGTGTCCTAAATTAATCACATTTTTTCTTGCTGTGTGTTTCTGTTAGGTTTCAGAAAAGGGATCCCTAACATCAGAAGAGTTTGCTAAGCTTGTGGGAATGTCTGTCCTCCTGGCCAAAGAAAGGTAAGTAAGGTGTTTGTGTTTGTGTTCGTGTTCCTGACTGGAAAGATAATTTTGTTTTTTTCTTTCTATTCCTAGGTTGCTGCTTGCAGAGAAGATGGGCCATCTTTGCCGAGATGACTCAGTAGAAGGCTTACGGTTTTACCCAAATTTATTTATGACACAGAGCTAAGGATTTTGTATTTGAAATACTTTTTGTCCATACACTTGTGTCATGTAGAGGTTGCTTGACATTGCAACTAAGAGATAAACCGAATTGGAACTAAGAGATAAACCCTGATAAACTGGGAATTTATTAGAACTTCACAATATAACATAAAACCTTGACATTGCAACTAAGAGATAAACCCTGATAAACTGGGAATTTATTAGAACTTCACAATATAACATAAAACTTTTAATTTCTCCCTCAATATTATGGTCCAGGAAGCTTATTTAGGATACATATAGGAAAATACAGAAAATTGAATACCAATATGAATTTAAAATCATGCTATAGCTGTGCAGGACCCTCAGAGTTTAACTTGAAATATGGTGGATTTTAACTTGATCCTCAAATCTAACCATTTTATAAAGAAGGGAATTTAGTTATTGGGGAAGATATGAGAAGTTGCATGTTTGGATAGTTTAGAATATTATTTTCGTGTGACTAAAATTCATTGGATTATAACTGAAGTTTTTCTCTGATGTGCCCATTTTGAGGGGTTTTCATGAAGGAAGTCGTATCCACAGTGTAGTTTAAGTACCTGCCAACTCTAGAACAAAATATCAAACTGCGGAATGGCATATGAAGCCCCTCCCAACGGCCTTTAGAAGCAGTCATAGGCATATCTTCAACCGACCAAATAAAGCACCTTTAAAAAAGGAGAGAATTTTATTTGACTTACATATATATACTCCAACTAGTTTCTTTTCATTTTTTTGAGTGATGATTTCATGGCTGGCATTTAAAGAATGCAGCTGTGTCATTTTGTTTAAAAAATGCTGTGGATTTTGAAACTGAATGAAAGAGCTGTACAGACATGCCCAGAGTTATGATTACCAAATGGGAGGTAGATAGCTACCTAGGATTGTTGTGCAGGTGGAAGGGCACAGGGAACTCTTAACTGCTTCACAGGAACTTTAGTGAAGCCAAGGATGAAGTAGAGAAGTAATATGTCTCCTTTTCCTTCCCTTATGGAGTTTCAGCACTGAACTTTTAAAAATCTTTCTATCATATTCTAGCAATATTTTTTTTTCTTTGCCCTACACATTATAAGTTGTGTGGAGAAACTATCTAGGTAAAAAGATAGTTTGAGATGATAAAAACTGGCTAATATCACATGTAGATTGCTTGAGTTTTAAAGTAGACTGCCTGGCTTCATGTGTTACTGCTCTACAGCTTACAGTATGTTGCATTACCTCAAACTCAGGGACCCCACAGGACAGAGAGAGACTTCCTTTCTGAGACTCAGTTGGAAGTAGACGGGTAGTGATGGTTTTTGGCCAAGCCTCTGGAAGGGATGGTATCTGTATTAGGAGAACCATTGGGACCAGGAGAAGGGATGCCCAGGTTCCCACTCTGGGAACCCTGAGATGTTCTCACTGGGTGAGGTGGAGGGCCACTGCCAGAAGCTGCTGCAAATGTCCTCTGCGGAAGTGGCAGAGATCCTTAGCTACAGATTCAGGAGATCCCAGGGATCTCATGATCCCTGCATGAAAAGAGGCTGTTTTTGCTTTGTGTCTACTGTCACGGGAATGCCATGGCTTAGGTATCCTGCTTTAGTCTTCGTTTTACAAACCTTCACTGACTCTTCATTGTGGTGACGGATCCCCTTATTCCCCCATTGCTCAGCCTCAGGTTTATTTTGGGGGTGATTCAGTGTCTGGCTGCTCAAGTCTTTTAGGAGTGAGTTGGAGCATTGCTTCAGCTTGTTTGTATGTTTTGACTCTTTGTGGGTTGCACTCACTTCACACTGCTCTGGCAAACTTGTATATATACACATACACACACACGCGATATCTCATCTGGCTAAGGTTTTTTAAAATTATAAAGATTAGTAATAATCTGTTTCATGAGTTGATATGAGTGGCAAGTAAGATTGTTAGAGCCACTGGATTTAACTTTAATGGTTTGGATTCATTAAGTAAACCTACATAATTCAACATATTTACTTACGTTAGTGTGACAATAGATGAACAAAAATGCAGCAATCTGAATTGCATGAAGTGAAGAAAAGTGACATATGAATATATTTTGCAAATGTCACATTAGTTAAAAAAAAGTATGACTGGTTTTATTATTTTATTTTTAAAGTGGGTATTCTCACTGTTTCCAGAGCTCTATATGTCCTTTTATTGGGTTTTGTTGTTGTTTTTTTTTTTTTTGCCAAATAAGGTTTTAATTTTTGGTCCTCTATTGGTAGATGCTATGTTTAAATACAACCGATCAGGCCCTAAGTGCAAAAAAGTTCTGACTTGGTGCTTATCACTGGTATAATTACTATTTTTGCTTTCCTAACTTTGCTCTTAGGAGCGTGAATCTCTTTGTAGCTTTATGGTAATGGAATATTTCTAGTCATGTAATGTCAAGAAAAAATTTTTTACATTGTGTAAGTGAAGATTGTTTTCAGGATTAAATGCTTGGTATTAATTTATATAGAATAAAATTATTGCAAAATTTTTAAATGATTTTTCTTAACTTGGTGTTCTTTTTAAATACTCTGAAAAATACATGAAAATGATAAACCTTTAAGTCACACTAAGCCAGTATGTTAAGAATTTTTCTTTTTGGTTTTATAATCAAGAGTTGCTTATAAATATTTATGACATCAAGCTCTTACTATTTTAGTTGTCTTAAAGGAATGGGAAATGAGTCATAAGCTTTCTTTTCTTAAAAAATTCTTGATGTGAATTCCACTGTTGATTGACCACGTGTATTCATGTGAATGTGCTATGTCTTGTTCCCTGTTACCAGACTAATATGACCAGAATGTGGACTCATCACGTCATCATTCTCGTGCTCAGATACTTAAAATGGTTCTTTTTTGCTCAACAGTCACTGAGTCTTCATTTGGTTCAGTGGAGTCACAACTTGTAAGGAGGTTAGGATTTAAAGACTGTGCCAAAGGACAAAATCAAGCATGCTCAAAATGATCCTTGAAAAATCTCCTAAACTGCCAATAAAGTTCTCTTTATAGTCTTACAGTTTGAATCCCTGTGGAGTGACATGTGGGTATGAATATATTATGCATATAGTAAGAACAATATGTTGTAAAAACTGCATATCAACAGTAGACTTTTATAGCATTAATAATTCAATTCAATTAAAAAAAACTTTTTTGAATACATACCGACTTTGTGTGAAGAACTTTGTGGGGCAGTGGGGGGTGAGATACAGAGGGGAATAACATACAGCTCTACCCTTAAGAACGGGGTGGCCTACTTGGGGAAATAGACCTGTGAGCAACTTTCATTGAAGATGGAATACAGTCGAAGCCATGGATAGGACACAGGTACCTGCTGTGGAGGACAGGAAGGAGCCTTTAGTTCTGGTGGAGGGCTCTGGGAAGGCTCTGGGAGAGGAAGATCCTGGTAAACAAGGCTCACAAGGACCAAGAGATTGTCAGTAATGGAAGGCATCGGTCAAGGGAACAGCATGAGCTGTGCCCTTCCTGTTTCTGGACACATTTCCCTGTCTGTCCAGACTTCCTTTCATTACTTCTTTCCACTTACCCTCCCCCACCCCCACTAATCCAAATCATACTTTGCTCAATCCTAACTGCTCTAGAAAAATGTTTCTAATACACAGCTCTGCTATTTCTGAACTCTGTAAGTTATTGTCTGTGCCATGTATTTGACTATATTTTCTCTTGTTCTCTTAATTTGTGTCTTGATGCCTTAAGAAAATAGAGACATTGGATTTCTTTAAGTTAAAAGACTGTCATCTAATGCTTCTTCTGAATTCTCACTGGCCTAGGTCAGCAACTGTACATAGTAGATTCCTAGTTAAGTATTAACTGGGTGATTTTTTGATTATAGGACCATGCCATGAGTTGACTAGCAAACCTAAATCTGTGTCCCCTTCCCAAGACATTTCTCAACCAGACATGTCATAGCTCACCCTGTCTGAGATCTGCTAAGTCTTATTCAAATTCCCTAACGTGGGCCATATCCATGATGTGGGAAGACTCCAGAAGTCGGGTTACACAAATGGAAGATCTTGTTATTACAAGCTGTTATTACAGTGTGAAAATTGGGTCATTCGTGTTCTTCCTTGTGTCCTGATAGGAAATCATGAGTCAGTTATAGCTTTCGTCTCAGAGCATTACCTAGGGAAATAAAAGATCCGTTTGTATAAAGGGAGTTACTGAGATACTGTATAAATTTTACATAATTTGCACAAGATCACTAGAGCAGTCGCTGACCTGTAAAGAGAATTCAAGTATCTTCAGAGCCAGATTAGTCTTAGTTCGTTACTGACAAAACCAGACCATTGTTCTTTTGAAAGTTTCTTTTTCCTTCACTTTTATGTTGCCTTCTTTCAGAAAAGATTACATCCTAACTGTCCAATAAAATCTTACAGTTTGGCAAGAAATCTAATTAAGACAAAAATGACAAAGCATCTCAAAGCCATTATTTTAAAAACTACCAAGCATATCGATACAGTCCCTTAAACCTAGATTCTCCCACCACCAAAGAGTGACTTGGAGACAGATGTGTCTGAAAGATTAACACAGAGCAAGTTGCCTTGTATATGTTTCACTTAATCAGCATAAAATTTCAATATAATTATTATATGCCTTTTATAGTGGAGGGAGGAGGAATTAAGTAAATTACCCAGGGTTATGGAGGCAGGCCTGGAGATTAATCTAGGCTTCATCTAACTCCAAAGCCCACTCTTTCCACTGAGTTTTCGCTTTCAAAACTGAAGATGCCAGGGACTATGTGGCATGTATTTGAAAAGGAATCCCAACTTGAGTTATGATTGGATATTAGACTAGATATTTCTGCTGGCAGTGAAGTTGTATGATGGCCTTAAAGCGTTTGAAACTTTGCATAGATTTAATTAGTGCTGTTGGTATTAACTATTTGACCAGATAAGTACTTAGAAAATTTGGTACCTCTGATAACATATGTGAATAATTGTGCTACCTTTTAAAAGATGAAATGATAGATTCAAGGACCTGCAAATGGAATATTTCTAAACGTTTTAAAAATTGAGGTAAAATTTACAGTGAAATGCACAGATCTTAAGTCAGATGGGTTTTGACAAATGCATAGTTAAATCCATGAAACTCACAACCCAACCAATCAATAGAACATTTATGCTCCCCAAAATTTCCCTGGTGCCCCCTTCCAATCACCTGCTCCCCAGAGGCCACCACTGTGCTCTGATTTCCATTGATGTACATTAGTTTTGTCTGTTAGATGGTATATTTTGCATAAAAGAAAAGCAAATGGTAAACTGTATGCACATTACTCAATAGCAAGCACAGCTCTTAGGAACTCAGTCCTCTCATATTTTAAAAAGACAACTTTAACACTTCCAGAGTAGATTTTTTAAATGTTTAGTTATTTTGAATTTAATTAAATAACCAATTCTGGCTCCAGGGAAAGAAAAAGATGCACCTTACCTGAACTGTATTCTTTTGAAACTCTTCAATGGCATTTGGGAAAGCAAGTTTTTTGGGAAAGCATGTTTACAGCCCACACGTCAGGCTATTTCAAAGACTTATTTTTGTGGTCATCCAGAAGAAAATGACACTCGGGATAAAGTGAATTTGAAGTGTCAGGAGACTGCTGGCTTGACCTTAAAACTCCGTGTCCTGGCCGTGGGCCGTGGGTGCGTGCGTGAGTGTGTTAGGGGATCTGCATTTGCGGTGGCCGTGTCCCCTCCCGCAGGACCTTTGTGGCCGCGTGAGTTTCCTGCCAGTTTCCTGTGCTGCAGCAGGCTAGCCGGGGGGTGGGCAGGAAAGGATGCGCTGCCCAGAAGGGGCGGGGGCGG